GCTTGAAGTTGAACAAGATTTTTAAGAGAGAAAAAGAGAAACAGAAGAGAGAAGTTTTATCACCTGACCATCAAGTGCCACAGGGAAAAAGGCATGGCTCAGCAGAATCAAGAGGGAAGAATTACACTTCAAGATCTGCAATAGATGACCAAGGAAAAGCACCAACAGAAGATAATGAAGTGTTGAAGAATGTGTTTTCAAGGCCAGTTTTGAATACTTTTAGGTAAGTTGGACATTTTTCTTGCCTTCTGGGATAATGAATTGATATGATTAAATTTATTTGAAAAGTGTATTTGAATTATAATAACTTAGGATTGCTTTTATTTTCCAGAATTCCAAAAAAGAAGAAAGTAAGTGATGACAGTGTGGTTGAACAGAAATCAGTTCTAGCATCAAGAGAACACCAAATTGCATCAAAAAAGCCATCCGGGTATGCTCCTAGGACACTTGATCAAAAAAGAGAGACAAACAGACATAGGAAAGAGAGAGACCTTAAAGTGGGCAATCGAAGTAGAAGTCAGAGGGGGAATGATGGAAGAAGAAATAGTGAATATTCTCAAAATGATTGGGGAGGAGGAAGTTGCAGTCCTCCAGATCAGGGTCATGATGTGGATAGTGCTTACGAACATAGCCCAGCGCCCTATTCACCGGGAGAGGGACAGATCAGTGGTAATCAGGTTGGGGAATCTGAGAAAGATGCTCATGGTTTCACCCTCCAACAAATGGCTATACCTAACAACTCTGATGTTCAAGCACCACCACCACCACCTGTGATTGAGTGTTGGGAAAAGCTTACAGAAATCATTAGGACTATTGAGAATTGCAAAAAAGGAAGTACTAATAGTCCAGCAAACTTACAGTTGGGGATTAATGTCGCTGACCTTGTAAATGATAATGATGTAGTCTCTAGTAACTTGGGCAGCACAACAGATAAATTAGCTCCAAAAGAAGGTACATTGACAACTGAGGAAAGTAGTACAGATAGAATACAAATTGCTAGTCACAAGGGGGAAATTGAACTTGTTAGCAGCAGACCACAGCCTGAGACACGCGTTACTGGTGAATATACGGCTGAAGGTAAAGGGGTGGAAAATCAATATTCACACCTTGATAAGAGGCAGAAAACAAAATTGTATGAGAAGAAGAAAAAGTTGTATTATGAAGCCAAAAAGAAGTACTATAATGTAAAAGGAGATACTGAAAATGATGAGAAGAAGCAGATGAGATTCAAAGAATATGAGAAAAGAAGGGAGGATTATTATAATATGAAATGGTATTTATATGAAGAAAAGAGGAAGGAACATTTGGAAAGGAAGAAAGCCAGCAAAGAAAGAGAAGAAATTAAGATTGCAAAGGAACAGTCTGAAATTGTATTGGGTGAGACAGACAGTGTTGTGGAAGAGGTAGAGAATGTTATGGACAAGACTGAGAATAATTTGGATGTGGCAGAAAATGTCAGGGAAGAGAAAGATATTAGGACTGAAGCAGAGAAAGGGGAAACACATGTGAACAAGGTATATGAAGTACAATCTCTTGACAGTTCTGATGGTAGGGTAGACAAGAGTGCCACCAATGAAACAGCAAAAGATGGTGACTCAGAGATGCCCCCACTTTTACCACCTCCATTACCACCCACAAACTTAATATCTTTAGGTCCCGAAAATATGCAGCAGGGGCATGAATCCTCAGATAGTAGGCTAGAGAACTTGCCTAATATTGGGTCAAATAATGATATGGCCATGGAGAAAGAAGAAAATTCAGACATGGACTTAGACTCAGATATGGATCTTGCCACATCAGAATCATCTGATGAAGATAATGATGAGTTGAATTTGCTTGCAAGATTTGGAGTTGATGTAAGTAATTTGCATGAACATGAAGCTAGCATACCACACAACCAAGAAGTAAGAGTTTGTGATAGTACCTCTAGTCTAAGAAATATTGTTCATAAGTTAATGGGTTGTGTCAGTAGTGATGCTGGAAATTCAAACCCCAAAAATGTTAGTGAGAATTCCAACAGCATAATTGATTTGGCAAGCAGTCCAGAAGTGTCAAAAACAGATAGCAGTGTAGGCATTGGAGAGAAGACTAGCCACAAAGGATCAGAAGATAGTGAATTACTGGGTCTATCATCTCTGTTGAAAAAGGTAGCTGAAAGAATCCATCCCACTCCACCGCCACAAAATACTTCTGAGAAACGTGTTGAGGGAACTTTGCCTTCTGTTCCTAACAAACCAAAAGATGGTGCTTCTGATCAGTATGTAGAGGAAATATTCTCTGCTGGTCCTGAAAAAACAAAAGATTGTACTTCTGATCAATATATAAAGGACATTATTTCTGCTGTTCCTGAAAAGACAAAGGAAAAGGTTTCAAAATGGACTGCAAGACAATTCCTTCCCCTAGAAGAGCTGACACACCCTAAAGAAAGTTTGGACGAGTCAAATGACTTAGAAGTGGTGTACTCGAGTATCTCATTGCCCAACCTGAGGAGAGGCTCGCAAGGGGTAAGTCTGAGTATCCTCCCATTGGAAAGTTTTATTTTCTGTTGATAGATAATGAAGAATGTGAGAAAGCTCCCAACCTAAAAAATTGGCTGAATTCTCTTATATTGGAATTATAGTTGGAGAAATTTAGATTTTAACATGTTTACAAAATAATTGCCATGCAGAGGTCATGAGAAACACAAGGCATGTAGCAAGGTTTATGTGCATTAACTTCCTGCAGTTTAATAACCCAAACAGTTTGGGCCCCCCCTCCCCTTGTACAGCTCCAAGAAGTCTCGGTGAGCCTTTCTGTATCCTTCTCTATGTCTTTTCAGGTCAGTTCATGGGGGAAGGTTAAATAAAGTGAGATGTCTAGAAGCAGAAAGTCTCACCGAAACGCTAAAATGTCATCGAAGCTACATTCACACTCGGCTCCAAGGAGAACCTCACAACTCCCCAAGTGCCAATGAATGACTTGACAGAACAACATCCCTTATCCCCATGAAGGGGTTCAGTCTCATTCGTGCTCATCTCTGCCTGCAAGATTACTGTCCAAGAATATTTATTAAGCGTTGCTGCTGTAGCTGATTCTTTTTTTCTTTTTCTTTTTTTCCCCTATTTTGGAGATGTAGATTATTCCATCAGTGTATCACTTATACCATGAAGAGATTTTATGTACATTTCCTGTGCTTTGCATGCCTTGTGTTTCCTTCAAGATGACCTTTTTAGCTGCATTGTAGTGCCAGGAAAATTCCTGCCAGATTTGATTGTAAGTGCCAGGCCTTTGCTTCAAGTATTTTATGATATAACACCTTTTCTCTTTGATTCTAGGATGCCTTGCCAAGCTACTACCAACAGATTCCTTTGGGTCAAGTTGTGGTGGACAAATATAAAGATATGCCTCTCTTGGGTAAGTTGAAGTATTAACTATTTTAGTAAGTTTTAACTCACTCAAAGATGTATCCCTTTCATGCAGTACAGTTCTGGTAATTTGGGGGAATATATACCTAAAGAATCCATTATATTCTCTCTCTCTCTCTCTCTCTCTCTCTCTCTCTCTCTCTCTCTCTCTCTCTCTCTCTCTCTCTCTCTCTCTCTCTCTCTCTCTCTCTCTCTCTCTCTCTCTCTCTCTCTACATATATATAATATATATATATATATATATATATATATATATATATATAATATATATATATATGTGTATGTATTTATGAATATATATATGCAAATATATATATATATATATATATATATATATATATATATATATATATATATATATGTGTGTGTATGTATGTATATATGTATGTTTGTATATATAATCTTGATGGGCACAGTGGGCTTAGGCATTTGACTGCTTATCTAATGTTTTGGAGGGCAAGGCTCTCCAGTGTCACAAGTGACTAAGATCCCAACTATTCTTAGCATGTAAGGGAAATGGCAACTTGCAGAAGCTTTAGGTTGATACTATGCATCATTCAACATTAGCAAACCTTATACAGAGAATTGTTTATGTGTAAACATATTCCAATTAATACTACCCATTTCAAATTTCAAGGAAAGAGTATATTCAATATTATGGATAACAATGAATCAAAACCAGCTATCAAACAACTCTTTGAGTCATAGTTAAATGTTGTTTTCTTGCAAATTCACCTAGGTCTTATGTGTGTGAGATTTGGAATGCATAAATGATGTATGATGATGGGTCAGTCTTTTTTGTACACAGTATGATTAATTTTTCATATCATCTGTTAAAATTTGAAGTTTTCATCCATTGTCAAAAAAGATCAAAAAATAGATTTGTGAATGTTTTGCATATTAAATAATAATTGTTGGGACTACCATACATCCAATGCCATTACAAACCCCTATTCGAAAGTTCTTCCCATATGCATTGAGTATATATGGCAAAATTTTCTTTTGTAAGGTTCATTCCTCCTGCATAGGATTTTCTAGTTTGGTGTCAATTTAAAAAATTTAAAGGAAAATCTTCACCCCATATTGATGGTGTGCTCTCTAGTCTTGCCATAATGAGCCCAAGCCCAAATGCTGGTTGACAAAGGTATGTCTCGGCAGTCAGACTACTCCAAGTTGTGTGCCCCAATCAGTTGATGTTCACGAGTTTGGCGACTCAAGAGCTACAGTTCCTCAAAAGTGGGGTTGAAGCCTTATTTTTCTGGAAAATTGTATGCTACAGCCAAAATGCACAGAGCAGAGTCAATGTATGTTTCCTGTACTTTTGATTTTTCACTTGAATGTCTGACTTGCATACCCTGGCACATGGCCTTTGGTGTGGCAATTACCTGTTACCATTAAGTTTGACAAGTTTTCTCAACATGCCTTTTTGGCTCCATTGCAGTATTGCATATACTTGGAAGGGTACTGGGTGTCTTGGTTGACTGTCCAGTTTAAGATGAGTCAGTATAGGGAAATTTCTACTGATTTTTACAATTTCTGTCTCTTCTCTTAGGAATATTGGGCTATTAGTACCCTCAGGATTCCCATTCTAAATTTGCTAACACAATATACCTTCTTATTTAATGCAGGCCTGCAATACGTTTTGGAAGTGAGAAAGGCTGTGGATACAACTTTGGACAAGTGTTTTTTCATCTGTGCACTATGCAGCAAGAAGATGTCTTCTGAGACCCTTGTGGCTCATATAAACAGCGTCCCACACAAGCTCAAGTTTTCTGTAAGTTTGGGGCTTTAGAAATTGGAATTAAATTGATTTTTTTTGCGTGTAAAATATTGAATTGAATTAATGAAGAATTTTATTGTTGTCTTTGTTTTTTTATATGAATATATACTTTATAAAATTTCAATAAAAGCTTTTGATGTGCTTGATTTGAAGACTCGTTGTTTCAATTATAATTGTGGAAAGAGCCCAGTAGTTGATGGTACAAAATATTTGACGATTGTATTCAATTGTCTTATCAGGAATTCCTTTGTAAGATTTCTAATAATTGGCTTTCTTTGCTCACACTCTAGGAATCTCATTGTAAGGATGTGTTTGACATATATGGCAAGGTACAATTGAAGGAATGGACAGCAGCCTCTGTGAAGGAATTTTCATTGGCTCTGAAGAAGGTATAGTATTTATGTCAATTTGTTACAATTTTTGAAATAATTTTTTTTATAAATCTTTAAACCAAACGATTTTGAAGATACCATTGAATTATGAATGGTATTTGTTCTTTCTTTAGGTGGAGGAGAAACATGGACGCAAAAAGATGGCTGTCACCACTGAGAGAGAGATGTCCTCGGTTCTCATGGCACTGAAGAAGAAGATTGCTGAAGAAGCTTCTTCAAGGTATTTTCCTATTCATTTTTGTTAGAAAAAAAAATTGGTGTTGTATAACTTTTTTGTTCCCTGGTGTTATGTGAATATTTCAGTTGTGTGTGTGTGTGTGTGTGTGAGCTCTTAGTATAAAGCAGATTTTATTTGCAGTTTATTTTATCCTGTTCTCTCTTCCTTTCCACTTCTCTCCTCTTTTTACTCTCATTCTCTCTTCTTCTCTTATTTACCTTCATTTCATTCCTCTCTATTCCTGATTATTCTATTATGGGTGCTGTCATGCTAGTACAAATCTCATTTCATCTTTCATGCTATTAAAAAATCCCATTTCACTGTCCAGGTGTGTTCTGTTCATTCTAAAACAACAGCTTTACTACATTTTATGTATGTCACACTGATTTCTAAGGCAAGTTGCAATGATATGCCCTCAACTTACAGCCAAGTGAACCAAGAAAAGCCTGTCGAGACGGTGGAGAAAGCACCCAAGACTCAGAGTCTGTCTTCAGTGCCCCAGGAAATTCCCCTTCCCCCAGCAGGTGTAAATCTGTCAAGCATTCCTGTTCCAACAAAACCAGGTGAGGTGTACCATACTGGTGTCAGGATGAAAGTACAAGATTGTTGAATCTAATTGAAAGGGAGCACTTGAGAATTACTGCTATATCTTTGACATTTTTGCTTTACAGTAGATTTTTGATTTTACTTGGTGTTGTTAGATTTTCTTTTGTATTTATCAGATACTTTATTTGTGCTTTCATAGTGTTACAGGGAGATATGAGAAATTTTATGCATAGTGTCGCTAGTTAGTATATGCTTTATGGTTCCTGTAGCTTTTCTGTTTTAATCTAAAAAGAAAAATAGGTAACAACTGTTGTTTTGATTTGTAATGGGCTATAGGAAGTTGTATGTATGTGTAGGTCATGTTATGGGAACCTTTCTGTGTGTGTATTTTTTTGTCAGGATTTTATGAAAGAATAAGAATGAACGAAAAAAAAATCCCAGGGGTGTGGAGGAGGGAGAAATTCGGTAAAACTCCCCCCTAACCCCTCTCTTGAAATGGATGTGGCTGTTTTAAAAAATAATACTGTAGTGAATATCACATTTCCCCGGAGGCATTAGGTTCGTTATTACCCCACCTCACCCCAACCCACCACTGATTTGGAAAGGTTTTCTTTAGAAGGGTATGAAGACCATGACAAAAATTTAAAGATTGGTACTAATGACCATAGACAGTCTTCTAAAGGATAAAATAGTATTTGTAGGATTCTGTTTAATCGTAAAGTGATAATTGTAATTCCATTCTTCTTGCCAGCAGATCAGAACAAAAGTAGTGGTGGCAACAGTGGGGGAGCAAAGGGAATTGGACCCAAGAAGATTGAAATTAACCTTTCAAAAGTAAAGCTTGCTGCAAGTACAACAGCAGACAACACCACCAACAAGAGTGAATCAGTTACCTCAAAAGCAGATCAGCCAGAAAACCAGAAAGAGGAAGAGGATGTCATTGTTTTGGCAGATGAAGTGTCCAATGAGGGCAAGCCAGATAATGATATATCTAATGGTAAGCAATAGATTTATCTTTGCAGTTTAATCTTACAGTTCAAGTGAGAGGTGCTGCTACTTTGGAATCAAGATCAGTTATAACAAAGGATTGCTTTCTGTTGCATTGGTGAGAAAAGTGTTACTTGTTTTATTTTTAAGAGAAAAAGTGGTCAAATGTTACAAGAATCTATATGCATGGTTATCATTGATGGAGATGCTTTAAATTAATTTTGTTTTTTGGGTTTGTTTTACAGGAAGAAAGTTTGCCAAGCGGCACTACAACCCTGGCCTGAATATCCGCAGCCGAAGTCCACCAAGACCTGCCTCGCCCAAGCGAAAGAGGTCCCGTTCGCCAGTCCAAAGACGGATTCAGGGGGGAAGATACTCTCCAAGGAGATCTCATAGTCCCAAGTATAGATATTCTCCGGGGCTCAGAAATCCTCCTAGGCTTTCTCCAAGGCGGTCACCAAGGAGGTCACCTAGGCGTTCACCGAGGCGAACCCCAAGACGATCCCCAAGGCGGTCCAGGACTCGGTCTCGTAGTCCAAGCTTTAGGCACAGGTAGGACATCCTGTTAATTATTAAGTTTAGAAGTTTGGTATAAATGTTTAATTCTTTATTTGAATTAAAATGAACACATGAACCTAGAAATTTCTGTTAGCTTTGTGTTTATGTAGTTTGTCATAGGAAACCTCTAAATTTTAGTTGTATATAGTTGCATGTTTGTGAAAAATGGTGAAAAATACGGACCTCTTATCATCACTGTGAAACAAGTAAAAAAAAAAATAAATAAAAAGTAAAGGGATTGTTACATAGGATCCTAAACAAGAACATAAAAATTTCACAATATTTTTTTGCAGATATTTTGTAACCATTTAACATTCCTTTGATCCCTTCACAGATCAGGATCTCAAGATAGGAGCAGAAGAAGTCGTGAGGATAATCGTAGAGCTCGATCTTGGTCTTCAAATTCTTCTTCTAGTGGTAGTTCTGTATCCCGCTTAAGGGGGCCTAACAGTCATCGTAGGCTAGACAGTCGCCCAGATTCACGCCATTGGCACCATGGGCGTAAAAGGTACTTAGACTGATGATTTAAAGAAGGGAAACTAATAAAAGTTTTCAGAATGAGTTGAATGATTGGATACATGTAATCCTAAACAAGATCATAAATATATCACAGTACAGTTATGCAAACTTTTTGTAATATTACTTTGATCTTCACAGATCAAGATCTCAAGATAGAAACAGAAGAAGTCGTGAGGATAATGGTAGAGCTCGTTCGTGGTCTTCAAATTCTTCATCAAGTGGTAGTTCAAGATCTCGCTCAAGAGGGCTTAATAGTCGTCGTAGGCTCGACAGTCGCTCAGATTCACGCCATTGGCATCACGAGCACAAAAGGTACACAGACCCAAAATTTGAAGTAGGAAAACCTTGAAAACTATTTAGAATGAGTTGAAGAATATAGGTAATTATTATGGGTATATTTTGAGACCTGATGTTGAAGAGTAATATGTAAGTAAAGAAAATTACTGAGTACAGTAGTAATGCATTAGTGGCTTTAAAATCATTGGCTGAGAAGTAATTTTTTGCAACACCATGAGATAAAGCAAGTTTTAATTCATATTGTTGATGCATCCAGGTGGCCATATTTTTGGTGAAATGTTAAATCCAGAAGACTAAGTAACTGAATTACGGCAATTCATCTTTTGTATTTCAGAAAAGACAGACGATCACCATCTCCTACGAGATCAAGGAATGTGTCAGATGAGCGAAGTACCCAGGCAAGGAAACTAGGAGATTTTAGAGAAGCTGAAGCAAAATTGATTGCTATGCATAAAGAATATCAGGTAACAAGTTTTACAAATTAGTTCTATTTATAAAATAGAGCTGCTTCAACCAATTCACAATGAACAAGCCAATATGCTTGTTCACTAAAGATTTGATTATGTGGCCAAGTACTTAGGTTGGCAACAGTGCTCTCTTTTTTTCTCATTTACTTGATGAATGGTTGACCAACTGAAACGTATTTGCATGCCTGCCCTTATACCCTTTTTTGATAGAGTACTAATCCTAGAGATCTGGTTGCTTCTCGGCTGCTGCTTTTTTTTTTTTTTTTTTTGACATCGTCTATATTGTTATTTGATTTACTTTATCCAGATGGTAACAGATTGTTTTCCTTGAACACACTTCATATCAACCCTCTTGGTAGTAGATAGATCATTGCAAGGAAAATAGAAATATGTATTATTATTATTGTTATTTATGTTTTTATTTATTTATCATTATTATTTATTATTATTAATATTATTATTATTTTTTTATTTTTTTATTTTTTTATTTTTTTTATTCAATTGTCTGTAATGGAACCTGTGCAGAGCATGGAAATGGCATCTTCCCAGGAGCCAGCACTTTCCCAGTCATGGCTCATGGTCATTACTTTCCACACTTGTTTATAAATGCGAATAATACAAAAGCCCTTTTCTTAAAAGCCATATTAGTCTAGTCATCCTCCAATAACCTTGTCCACTTGTGATGAGTCTTTTCTGTCACGCCATCCTTAGCTTATGATGACAAATTTGCATCAGCTTGCCCAGAGATATTTTCCCTTGACATTTTCACATGACCCACCCCTCAAGCCAAATCTTTTCGTGCCATGGGGTCAAGTCTTATTTCATTTGTTCACAGTTTGGGTTAGTCTACCTCTCCTCCCATTACCCCTCCCTTAGAGAGATTAGTGAAGGTTTATATCATAATTAAGAAAAAAATCTTGAGTTCAGGGAAGATAAATTCAATAGAATTGCCGCAGATAAATGGTACAGATTTAAATTTTTTTGTATTGTATGTGTATTGATATAGTGCAGTTTTAGCTTTAGAAGGTTATGTTAACTCATTGATGTGCACACATAGACAGCTCCACAAATGCTTATTCACCAAGGATTAGATCAGTAGTCTTTCCTTCACCTCACTATTTTCTTGCATTTGTTTTTGTTTGATTTTTATTTTTTTATTTATTATTTTTTTTCTAGACTAAAATTTATTTTTAAATCGACCTTTCAAAGTGGTCTTTCACACTGCTTGATTGTGTGAAAATGTGGCAAAATTGTGTACCCATTGTGAGTATTATAGATTTCAGTTGATTCGTTTTATTTTTGCCTTTTCAATAATAATTATTCTTTACTACAATGATTTATTTGTCTTCTGCAGAGAATATATGACTTACGGCCTGAGACACATCCATACTACAATCGTGAATGGCAGAGGTTTTGGGACAAGAGGTCTTTGGAATTACGAGCCTCGGGTGTAGACCCCAAAACTTACAACTTCAAAGAAGAATGGGTGGCCTTTTGGTTGAAAAGGATGAAGGAGTTGGATACAATAAACTTCAAAACAAACAGAGAAGCTCTTCTGTGGAAGTTTAAGATAAAAGACCCAGGCCCAATCGAAGCAGGTGTCACTGAAGGGTGGGAAGTGCCAAAGGTTCCTATTGAAAGGTCCACAGAGAGGTCTCCTAGTCCGTGGGAGGATGAGAGACTTGTAAAAAATCCCTCTCCTACACCACAAGGTAGTAACCCCAGCAACCCCAACCCCAATCCCGAGCCAGCGTTCTTAGCAGAAAATCAAGAGAAAGCACCTGTTGCAGAAAAGAAATTCGAGGAGGAGTTCTCTGTAATTGGAACTCTAAGAATGTTGAATGAATTGGAAGAGCAGCTTGGATCTTTTGGTCCAGCAATTGCAACACTTTTAGAAAAGGCCATAGATTCGAGCCAACAAGGTTCTAACCCCATAGAACTCTTCAAGGATCCAGACAACTTTGTTTTGGTGCGCTATGCCAGAGAGAAGTTAGTTTCACAAATCTCAGCAGGCATTTTGAGCACAACAGCGTATATGCGTTCGCTGGTTGCTGTGGAGAGAGCTATGTGGCTCCAGTCACAAGCTGAGAAATTGAATGACCAAGAAAATTACCTTGGTTTGGATATACCTACTATTGCAAGAGCAACACAGGGAATGGATAAAGTACAAATTGCACAGTATATTGCGCAGTATCTCTTACAAGTTGGTAAGTCTGATGCTACAGAAGAAGAATTGCAGAATATTTTAATAGCAGTGTCAACCAACCATGCTAAACTCTTGAGTGACCAGGCAGCCACCCAGAACCAAGTTATAGAAAATCAATTTAATGCTGTCAAATCTCCAGTAGAAATGCGGATGCCACTGTCAGCAAATGGAGGGAGTTCCAGTCATTCAGCACCTAGACCACCAGCACTCTTTCCATCTGGTGTGTCACAGCAAGAAAAAACAGAGCATTTTAATGCTTCTAACAAGAAGAATGAAGAAAATGGAGGTTTAGCAATTCTGCAGTCAGCTTATGAAGATGAGGATAAACCTAAAGACATGGACAAGTTATCTCTGGAAGACTTGCAGGCCCTTTTGGCAAATTTCCGCTCCCTTAGTGGAGATGAGCAACAGGCTCTCACTGCATACCTCAAGAAGTTGGAAGCCACAGATAGTAAAAAGGTGACAATGCTCCGAGAGAAGATGCAGAAAAGTAATAAAAATGCTGTTAAATCTATATCAAAAGTGGTACCCAAAGCCCGTGATGGAGCAGAAAGAGCTCCTTCCCAAAATAGTGTAAATAAACTTGAAGACATTCCAAACAAGACTCCACCCGTCCATCATACCCGATCCCTTACTCCAGGTCAGTCATTTAATCAACCTCAAACCTATAGTAGTGATCAGCCCTCATCTGCAAATCAAGGACAGCTCACAAATAGTACCACTATGAATTGTGAACATCCTAGCGAGACCTCTGAAATGCGAGCAGCCAGCCTAGGGGAGGGCCAGTTGACAATGTCTTCCATTAATAACAAAGGCAACAATCCAAGAGGACCGGATGTTAGACCACATTATGAGGAAGACCGATTTAAGGCCTACCCAGGTCCACAAGATACACACACAGGAGATTTTGATCAACGCGGGTTCTCCCAACAACAGAGACCGCCAGAGCCATACCAGCAAGACTATGGGAACCGTTTGCATGAGGGTCAGTGGTGGAACCAAGGCCCGCAGAATTATAATAATCCTCAGGGTGCGCAGAACTATGATAATCCTCAGGGTGCTCAGAATTACGATAGCCCCAGCAACCCGCATCTTTACAGGAGTCCTAGTAACCCAGAACCCTACAGAAGCCCTGCCGGCCCACGTAACTTCTCTGGGCCAAGGAGTAACCAAGGGGGTCCTTATAGAGACCAGAGTCATTTCCAGCAAGGGAACGTGTATAGAGGGGGCCCTCGGCAATCGCAATTCCAAGACCGATGGTAGTAGTATATACACGGAAAACTCCATTTTTTAATTATATTTTGTTATTTTTTATATTTGATTTCTTAATTTAGTACCAGACAGTCACAGGGATGAGTTTGAAGGGATGGTTGTAAAAAAACTACTGTCGCTTGAATGAGGATGTAATTAGTTTGAATATGTGATTAGATGTTTTGTTTATTTTTATATTGAATTTCCCAGGCCATTGTGTCAGTTGTAACTTGTTCCGAGCATTGTAGAATAGTGCTTGATATTTCTTTTATTAAAAATATTGGTATAGCATGTTTCCCTCATAAGTAATATGTATATAATTATTTTCATCGGGGGGGGAAACAAGACACGAATTGCTATATTGTTTATTTCTGGTTTTGAATACAAACTATATATGTATATATATATAAAATGTACGTTATGTACCATCCATTTGTCAATAAAATGTATAATAATAAGTGTTTATGTTATATGCCACCTGTTGTTTGCGTGATCAGGTTCTTACCTATATAGACCTTATTGACATTAGGCTTGATTAGTACAGGGTCTGTATTAGTGATATTGAGGATTTGGAAATGTTCCAACATATTTCATAAGATTATCAGGGTTCATGCCATTAATACATCTATAACCAGTTCTCAAGAAACGAAAAGGACATACAGAGAAATTAACGGTAAACGATTCCAAAAAGGTAGTATGGGTGATACGTCTTACAAATGCAACTGCTGTGCTTTGCAGTATACAAGGCATCGTTCTTTGCATGTGGCCCCATACCCTTTTGGAAAGGGAAACCGGAGTAATCACTTGATCATTACATTTTCAAATAGACTAATGAATTCAAAGCCGAAAGAATAATAGCTTTCCAAGTCAAGAAAAGTAACATGCCTAAAAGGATTGATAGCGCTACTCTCCTATTTGTGTGTCACCAGCACACATGGATGAACAGTTATGAAATCGGTAACAATCAGATACATGAAGCACTGCGTCACGCCTGATGGCAAAAGAAATTTTAAATAAATATTAACGTCTTTCAAGTAACATCCGACAACAAACAATACTAAAATACAGGTTATACTGAAAACCTGGTGAGAACCACTATTACTGTAAGGAATGGTTGATTTCAAGCAAATATAAACAAAGAAAGTAATTGAGAGAAACCGATCATTTGAAATAAGCCATCAAGAGTCAGTGCAAAAATAGTGCACAATTTGATTGCAAATTAATGCGTAGGCTTACATGACTCAAATTAAAGCACGCATGGAAACGTTAGCAATGATAATTTTGCGCGATATAGATAAAATAGGCTGACTACAACATACTACAGTGGAATGATAAGGACTTTAGAGATGGTAAGAAGCAGTGCATAGTGATTAACAAGGACGGTCTTCTGGCTAGTGTTAAACAAATATTTAGAGATGGCAAAGAGTAGTGCATAGTGATTAACAAGGACGGTCTTCTGGCTAGTGTTAATCACTGTAAAAATTATGAGTGAAAGTGTCGTAAACCTTTCCAAATCTGAATTCAAATTAGGGGGGATACTGAGTGTTCGTATTGACAGTTTATATATTTTTAATACCTCGATTTCAAATGGGCAATATAGTGAAAAAAGGCTTCTTACTCTATACCAGAATGGGACGTCACTCCACACCCTTCGGCAATCGTGGAGGGCTGGGGAAGGGAGTTAGGAAATGCGAGTAACACATAATTGCACCTATAAATCTTCTGCCTTTATTGCCACGTATGTTGCCCAACTCTCTTATGGTTTCGTGCCTCCCCTACCCGACCCTTGTCCTCCCAAAAAGTTTCCCTCACTGACAGTTTCCCTCTATTTCTACTGTTACTACTACTACTATTACTATTATTACTATTACTGCTATTACTATTACTACTACCACATATTTTGCTACTACTATTGCTATTACTACAACAACACCAGCAAATATTACTACTACTACTACTCTTACCATTATTACTACTACGGCAACTGCTATTGCTGCTGCTGCTACTGCTACTACTTACTACTACTACTATTACTGCTTCTACCACAACTACTACTACTACAATTACTTCTACCATTCATAATATGAATTATTACATGCGATTATCATTTTATACATTGTTCTTCCTAATATTCTCAATACCATCGACTCTGCTTTGAAGGTCTATGTACCATAATAAAAACCCATACATACAAAGGATACCAAAAGCTGGAAAATTACTGCAAGTCCGCAGACTAACAGTATTTAGTCAGTATCTTTGCTTATATTTTGTCCTGTTATTCACGACGTAGACGTGGCAGATGGTTTTAGAGAGTCAAATTTAGACTTGGTATATATTGGCATCTGCTTAGGAACACTTACAGTCCAGGTACTAATTATTTCTCAAGCTAATAATTGATGTGGAGAAGACTGGTGAATTCTTATTAAAAATGATGCTAGGTTCTTTAAAGATGTGCGTGTGTTAATATTTTTCTGAAACCATTCAGGCAGGCAATCAAAGAAAATGTTAGTGAAAGGGAATATGATGAAAATTAGGAATGTAGTCTGTGCACGATATTGTTATTATTATTATTATTATTATGATTATCACTATTATCATCATTATTACTATCATTATTATCATTACTATTATATTGTCATTATCATTATTATCATTATCGTTACGATGATTATAATCATTATATTTATTATTATCATTATCAGTATTTTTACTGAATATGATAATCATTTATAATTGATAGATTGGCAAGATCATTATTTAAAATACATTACTGTTATTCACTCATGTATTTAGCTAATCATCATCACCATCCTGTTAAGTGCATCATCTCGAAAAAAAACCGTTCTAAGAGGCATCCAGATATTGTCATAAACATATATGTGTTGTCCAATGTTAGACACAAATTATAACCAATACTGTGACCTATGTATGATGTTATAGACGTAGATACCTGCATTAGGTATAGTCTGTGACGCACGAAGGGGTTCATGCACTACCCAACGTTCCAAATAAGGGATAGGCTAGATCAGTAGCAACTCGAGGAGGTGTCATGGCGTCTGTTTTGATGATTGTTCAATGGAAATATAACCATTAAAATCATTATTTTCCATCCTTTTTGAAAATTGAAAAGACCCAAAATGATCGACCATATTCACAAAGCATCCGTAACTTTTGTGACGTCATCAAAATAAACCCCATGTGCTTTTTCCAAAAATAGAATCAGACGCCATGATACCTCGAGTTGCTACTGATCTAGCCTTTCTCGTCCCACTAAACAACCGATGTAAACAAAGTGATAGGCATCGATACACAAAATTGTCTAAGGCGATACCGATACACCGATACTTGAAAACTAGTTAAAGCGACCCCGAAACATCGACTATTCGTGGATAAAGCAATACCGATACCAATACATGTATCGGTAAGAAGATGTGTGGAATTCATGTTGAACAGATTGCAACAGGAACAACGAAGGGAAGGGCAAGAAAACACACGAATATGCCGAAGGCCTTTTCACTATATGCCCTGACGAAGGAATAGTGAAAAGGCCTTCGGCATATTCGTGTGTTTTCTTGCCCTTCCCTTCGTTGTTCCTGTGGTAAGAAGATATCCACACTGATGTGTAAATATTTGATTGTCATGTTTGATGCGCAATGGTTGCAGCAGGAAAGTTTTATTTGTTTGTATCATGCTTGGATAATCTGATGCAATATAGATTATGAAGCAATTGCACTTACAACTGACGGGTACGTTCAGGGTACATATACATAGAGAGAGAGAGAGAGAGAGAGAGAGAGAGAGAGAGAGAGAGAGAGAGAGAGAGAGAGAGAGAGAGAGAGAGAGAGAGAGAGCGAGAAAGAGAGAGAGAGAGAGAGAGAGAGACGAGAGAAAGAGAGAGAGAGAGAGAGAGAGAGAGAGAGAGCGAGAGAGAGAGAGAGAGAATATCAAAAGCCTTTCCTTTATGACCAAGGAAAAGAGAAAATGGTTCCGTTTCTTTTCACACTTCTTGAACACCGCTGTCGACAGAGTGAACGAGAGAAAAAAGGACAGATAGACATATAGGTACAATTAGATATATATATAGAGAAAGAGAAAGCAAGCCAGTAAGAAAATTACTCTCCTCCTCCCATCATCTCTCTCTCTCTCTCTCTCTCTCTCTCTCTCTCTCTCTCTCTCTCTCTCTCTCTCTCTCTCTCTCTCTCTATATATATATATATATATATATATATATATATATATATATATATATATATATATATGTATATATATATATATATATATATATATTATACATACATATATATATATATATATATATATATATATATATATATATATATATATATATATATATATATGTGTATATATATATACATATATATATATATATATATATATATATATATATATATATATATATAATATATATATACATATATATACATATATATTTACACACACACGCACACACACACATGTATATATACAGACCATTTACATACAGTTGATTGGACATATTACAGAGAATTTGACAACTGGAGTGAAGTTCCTTGCTAAAGGGAAAATGCAGCCGAGACTCGCAGTCGAACTCAGGCAGCCGAGCTCTGTGTAGAAAAGTATGAATGAGAATAGATATCTTCACAATACAAGAGATGTGTTTGACCGGTTTCGAATAGATGCATTTCTCAGACTAATAATTGATGTGTATTTTAAATAATGATAATTTTAGATATTGTATTTTAAATAATGATAATTTTAGATATTGTATTTTGAATAATGATAATTTTAGATATTGTATTGATAATTTTAAATTTTAAATAATGATAATTTTAGATATTGTATTTTAAATAAGGATAATTTTAGATATTGTATTTTGAATGATGATCATTGCTAATTTATCAGTTGTAAAGTAATTATCCTATTCAGTAACAATACTTATAGTGATAATGATAAATATAATGATTATAATCATGGTAACGATAATAATAATAATAATAATAATAATAATGAATAATAATAATCGAAATAGGTCAAATACATTTCTTGTATTGTGAAGATATTCATTCTCATTCATACCTTTTCTACATTTTTCAACATGAATGCGGTTCAGAGATGCTCTAGTCACTCGGTCGCCGCATCTTCAAAATAAATTGATTTCAGGAGTGTTTACATACTGCAGAACTCCCCCCCCCCCGCTGGTCGTCTCTATTGTAATATTGTTTTTATCATTAGTATTATTAGCAATTCCTTAGTTATTGTTTATTCTGTATCTTTTTTTTTATTCTTACTCACCCCTTTTCTTATTTTTTCTTTGATTCTGTTCTTTGTGTGTTTGTTTTTTGTTTGTGCGAATCTGCATATGTGTAAGGAAGATATTGGCAGATAGATAAATAGAAAGTTAGAGACAGATAGATAAATAAAAAGATAGACCTGGAGAGAGAGAGAGAGAGAGAGAGAG